ATCGACGCCTACTCGTTTTTCAGCGCCCCATTGGTGTTCGGCGCCCCTTTGTTTTTCGGCGTGCCTTTGGTTTTGGGTGCCCTTTGGATTTCGGCGCCCCCTTGGTGTTCGGCGCCCTTCTGGTTGTCGTCGCCCCTTTGGTTTTCGGCGTCCAGTTGATTCTCGGCGTTCCTATATTTTCGGCGGTCCCTTATTGTTTTCGGCGCCCCTTTGGTTTTTGGTGCCCCATTGATTTGTGGCAGGGTCTTGGCTTGTTCGGCGCTCGTATGGTTTCGGCGCCTCTTTGGTTTGTTGCGCCCCTTCGGTTTTCGGCGCCATTTTGGGTGTTCTGCGCCTCTTTGGTTTTCGGCGCCCTTTCGGTTTTCGGCGCTTCTTTGTTATTCGGTTCTCCTATGGTTTTCGACGGCCTTTTGGTGTTCGGCGCTCTTTTGGTTTTCGGCGCCCGTTTGATGTTTTATGCCCCTGTGGTGTTCGGCGCTCATTTGGTCTCTGGCGCCCTTTTGTTTTTCTGGGCACCCTTCGGTTTTCGGCGGCGCTTCTGAGTTTCTATATAGTCGCGGTTTTCGGCGCTCCTGTGGTTTTCGGCGCTTTTTGTTCTTCTCGGCGCCTTTTTGGTTTCCAGCGCCAGTTTGATTTTTATTCGCCTTTGTGATTTTCAGCGCTCCGCTGGTTTTCGACGCCGGTTTTTGTTTTTCTGCGCACCCTTGAATTGTCGGCGACCTGTTGGTTTTTGGTGATTTCGGCGACCTGTTGGTTTCGGCGCTATTTTGGTTGTCGGCGCCCTTTTGGTTTTCGGCGCTTCTTTGGATTTCGGCGCCCTTTTTGGTGGCGTCCATTTCGTTTTCGGTGCCCTTTTGGTTTTCGGCGCCCTTTGGGTTTTCGGCGCCCTTCTGGTTGTCGGCGCCCGTCTGGTTGTCGTCGCCTGCTGTTCGGAGCGCGCCCTTTTGGTTTTCGGTGCTCCTTTGGTTTTCGACGACCTCTTGGTGTTCGGAACCCGTTTGGTTGTTGTCGCCTCTCTGGTTTTCGTTACCCTTTTGGTTTTCGGTGCCTTTTTGGTTTTCGGCGCCCCTTTGGTTTTCGGCGCCCCTTTTTGTTTACTGCTCTCCTTTGGTTTTCGGCCCCCTTTGGGTTTTCTGCGCCCCCTTGGTTGGTTGTGCTCGTTTGCTTGTCGGCGCCCTTTGGGTTTTCTGCCCCCCTTGGGTTTTCGGCGCACTGTTGATTTCCGGCGCCCGTGTGGTTGTCGGCGCCCCTTTGGTTCTCAGCGCCCCTTGGTTTTCGGTGCCTTTTTGTTGTCGGCGCCCCTCCGGTTTCCGGCGCTTTATTGGCTTTCGGCGCCGTGCTTGTTTTCGCCAACCCTTTCGTGTTCGGCGACCTTTTGGTTTTCTGTGCCACTTTGGTTTTCGGGGCCCCCTTGGTGGTTGTCGGCCCCTGCCGGGCAGGGGCCGACAACTACCATAGGGGTGCCGAAAACCATAGGGGGGCAGGGCCTGCCCCCCTATGGTTTTCGGCACCCCTATGGTTTTCGGCGCCCGTGTTGTTTTCGACGCATCTTTGGTTTTCGGAGCACCGCCGTTGGTTTTCGGCGCCTTTATTGGTGTTCGGCGCCTCTTTGTTTTTCTGCGGTCTTTTGGTTTGTGGGGCTTTTCGGTGTTCGGCGCCTCTTTTGGTTTTCGGCGCCCCTTTGGTTTTCGGCGCCCCTTTTTGTTTTCTGCTCTCCTTTGGTTTTCGGCCCCCTTTTGGTTTTCTGCGCCCCCTTGGTTGGTTGCGCTCGTTTGTTTTTCGGTTTTCGGTGCCTTTTTGGTTGTTGGTGCCTCCGGTTTCCGGCGCTTTATTGGTTTTCGGCGCTCCTTAGGTTTTCGGCGCCTTTTTTTGCACCATCCTGGTTTTCGGCGCCCGTGTGCTTTTCGGTGCCCTATGGTTTTCGGCGCCGCTCTGGTGTTTGGCACCCTTGTGGTGTTCGGCGCCCGTGTGGTTTTCGGCGCCATTTTTGGTGTTCGGCGCCTCTTTAGTTTTTGGCGGTCTTCTGGTTTTCGGCGCCTTTGGGTTTTCAGTTCCTTTTTTGGTGTCCCGCGCCTCTTTTGGTTTTCGGCGGTCTTTTGGTTTTCTGCGCCCCTTTGTTTTCTGCGCCCTTTCGATTCTCGGCGCTCCTTTGGTTTTCGGCTCTCCTTTGGTTTTCGGCGCCCTTTTGGTTTTCGGCGCCGTTTCGATTTTTGGCGCCCTTTCGGTTTTTTGCGCCTCTTTGGTTTTCGGCGCGTCTTTGGTTTTCGGCGCTCCTTCGATTTTCGCCGCCCCTGTGGTTTTCGGCGCTCTACGTATTGGTGTTCTGCGCACTTGTGGTTTCCGTCGCCCTTCCTTTAGCCCAAAGGGGGGGGCTTCCAAGCTTCTCGCCCCCTGTAGCCGCAAGGATGGAAGGGGAGGGGGTACGGCAGGGGGGGTCCAAAGGGAGGGGGGGGGGTGGTAAGCCGCCCCCTCCCTTTCGGAAAGGGAGGAAGGGGAGGGGAGCTTCCAGAGCGCGAAAGGGTTGATGATGCAACGCAGGCATGAGGGGGCTCCCTGTGCTCAGTACGCTAGGCTCTAGGCTCTGGACAAGAGGAAGAGCACAAAAAGAGGGAGGGAAGCACGAGGGCGCCTAGCCCAGCAGGTCGGACCAGGCCTGTAGCTCCTTTCGTGCAGCCTCGACCTGACGGGGCGATGGAGCCTGCGGTCGCTCTGGAAAGAGAAAGCAGCGGGGCGGGTCCTGGTTGGCCCACGGCGCCACGCGAGCATGCCTCCGTTCGGCTCGGATGCGCCGTGCCTCGGCACGATTGGCCTCGATCCTGGCCCTTTGGGAGGAAGAGAGAGGAAGGGGGGCAGGGGGCGGAGGCAGGGGCGGAGGCGGAGGAGGGGAAGGAAGAAAGGGCCAGGACGCAGCTTGCTCCTCAGGGGAGCCGAGCAGAAAATCTGCAACTCGCTGCTCTTCAGGATCCTGTTCAGAATGACCCTGGGCATGCGGGGTAGAATCCGAAACCTCTGGCCCTTCAGAATCTGAAGAGTCGAAACGTGAAAGCTCTGGGTCCGTGCACCTAGACACCCGGCTTGCCCTGCTTTGGACTCCTGCAAAATCGGGGGCAGGGGCAGGGGGTTCTGGCGCATCTCGCTGCATGGCAGCATAGAAAGCGATGAGCCCATCACGAATTTCTTCAGAATCCTGAGAGTACGGAAATACTGGCTCCTCGCACGAGGAGTTTTTTAGAGCGCTTATGTTACCAACAATACTTTCAGCAAGAGCCTTACAAAGGCCACTAGGGTAGGCCTTCTTAGAGGCCGTGTGAAAAACTCCGTCGTCTCGCTTGCCGAGCAGCGTCCTGTGAACACCTCTGCCGTGCGAGCACTTCCCGTTGCCTGGAGTGGAACGCAACCTGGACGGCAAACGTGGCATTCGCACAGATAAAATACAGGTGGGAGCCCGTCCGTATGTAGTGGGACAGGCGGTGGGGTCTTGATGCTCACACTGGTCGAATTCCGTGAGATTAGAACACGGGGCAGCGGCAGGGCCTGCATGGGGCGCCACCTGAAAGACGCGGGAGCCCCAGGAGCCCAAAGAGCGGGGGTTGGGTGCTCAGGCCAGCCTCCAGTGCCAGCTCTGAGGTGCTCAGCCAGAAGCCTAACTAAAGCAAATAACAACACGGAGCCTATCCTAACCTGCTCAGACTGTCTCCACGAAATCCAAGGCATACCCCAGACATGTTCCATAGACCTGAGGGGGGGAGGCCCGCCTTCGGTCCACCTGGCAGCAGACCAGGTTTCGCAAGGCGGACCTCCCCCCGAGTTAATAACTCTGTGACACCTCACGTGCTCAATCCATTCCAGGATGGTACTTTCCCGAGACAGGTCCCCACGTACGTTGTCAATAACAATGTCCACGCTGAGCACGACAATTTCAATGGCAGGTTGGGCAATCGAAAACTCTATGTGCCATTGAACATCCTCCCGTCTGCGGTGTCCACAGAAGAGGTTGAGCACGAACAGCGTGCTGCGAACGATGCGGAGGGGTACGGAATCCGAAGCCACTCCAGTGTATGAACCTGGATCGAAGAGGTAGAAGGGAGGTTCACGTACTTGATCCTTTCTTGGAGGCACATCCTGGAATATGGCCTGGAACTCTTCTCGCTTTTCTTGCGGGATGGCATAGTCGGATTCCAACAGAACTGCTTGTGCTTCTTGCTGGCTGAGGTCACCAGCTCGTGGTTGGGCAAGCGCACACTTGCGACTCGACTTGCTGGGGCGTCCGTGCGCCATCTGCCAAATCCAGCCCGACGTTGCTCTGGCAGTCTCTGGGCTTCTTGCTCGTTCAACTGGGCAGCTTCGCTGAATGAGCACTTAGAACCACCTACAATAGATAACTGCATGCCGATACTGATATGCTCCACAGGCCCCGTAACTTCGAGCGCGAAAAGGAGGAAGGAGGGGGGGGCCTCCGGCAGGGGGAGGGCCAAGGGGCGGGGGGGGGGGGTATAGCTAAGCCCGCCTCTCCCCCCTGGAAAGGAGGGGAGGGGAGGTGGCTTCCAGAGCGCCCAAAAAGGGGCAGGGGGGGGAGCTACTGGGCGGGTTTGAAGAGGGAGAGAGGGAAAGGGGTAGCTTCCGGCAGGAGGGGGCCCATGGGGGGCGGGAGCTAAGGGGGGGACCCCGACCCCCCTTGGGAGTGCTCCACGGGCGCGCCCTCTCGCATCACAGGGGGGAATAACAGTGACAGCCTGTGCCCCAGAGCGGGCGCTCGTTAGTCTGTGGCGTGCGACGTCTGCGTCAGGCCGTGGCATCAGCAGTTTCTGGACCGGCACAGCAGTGCCCGTTCCTCAGGATTCGCTGGCGGGCAAGACGAGGAGAATATGAGGGCAGGTGGCGGGGGGGGAGGTTCGAGCGGCGTGACAGGTATCTTGAAGCAGTGATGCCCGTGCTCCAGCCTCGTCTGACTTTCTGCCGAGGTACATCCCCAATCCCTTAACTCGACGGAGCCAGCTGTGATGTGCAGTGCCGGGAGCGGGGGCCCCGACAGCTGCTCCGCTTGCGACGGCAGCGCCGGGAGCGGGGGCTCCGCCGGCAGCACCGGCGGGGGCGGTAGCGCCGGGAGCAGAGCCCGTGAAGCGGCGGCTCTGGGCAGACCTGGCGGCGGAGGAGGAAGTAGCCGCTAGACCCGATGCCCTGCAGGCGGCGACCCTGCCCGCGGGGTCGCGCGGGCTGCTGGAGGCGCGGCCGCCGGAGCCGCCCCAGGCGCCGCGGCGGCAGCGCGCGGCGGCGGCGGCGGACCGCGCCGCGGAGGCCGCTCAGGCGGTGGCCTTGGCTGCGGCCGCGGACGCGGCGGCCCCGTGGGGCTGCGCGAGGCGGTGTGCGTCACCTTCCAGCGCGGCTGGACGCCTGTCCGGGTCGCCGCGCGCCACCTCGGCCTGCCCGAGGGCCGGCGCCTGCCCGCGGCCCGCGGCCGGGTGGCGCGGCTGGTGGCGCGCCTGGCTGCGGCGCAGCTCCTCGAGCTCGCCGAGCTGCTGGGCGCCGCAGACTGGCCGCGCGGCGCGCGGCGCCGGGCTGCGCAAAGCCGCAGCCCGGCTGAGCACTGCTGCTTTTAATGCCTTCTCCTTTTCTTCCCTTCCCTTCCCCTGCTGCTCTCCTTTTTTTTTTTCCCTCAGCCACGGGGCGACCCTCTCGCGCGGGTAGAAAATAATGGAATGCCAGCTTGTGATCAGGCGGCAAGTCGACAACAGTGCGAGCTGCAGCCGAATTTCTCTTGTGCCCCTTTTGCTTTCTACTTGTCGTCCGCGATCGCTCTTCGGACGGTGCACAGAGTTTTCGCATTGTGGGGAACGGACTCCAGCTAGGCAGTTGGCAAGCCACGTGGCTTCGCAGGGCCCACGGCGAAACCCAGCCCCCACGACAATATGCCGTGGCCGAGCTCATCTTGCCCGCACAAAAGGCGGCTGTACCTGTTCCCTTGCACTTCAGACGACTACGTGGTTAATGCGCCACGGACACAGGAAACACGTCAAAGAAGAATCCGGCCTGCCACCAGATGCCCCGCAGAAGTCTTTTACCCCCCCGATGGCCTTGGGGACCAACAGAAACCTTGGAACGCTTTGGGGCCCCCAGAGATCGATGAGGAATGCGAGCAATGTTTTTTTGTCACAGCAAGGTGTAGCATCGCATGCGCCTAGTGTATTCGGCTGGCGCGGCACAGGGGCGGGGGAAGGACGGGCCCGAAGGGGGGAGGGAGGGGGAGGAAGGCGGGGAAGGGGCCTCGCCCGTGGAGGAGCGCCCCCTGTGGGCGGAGGCCGCGCCTGCGATGGGGGGGCGTGACACGAGGGACGTCGCGCCGCAGATAATCGTGATGGGAATTCGGGATGCAATAATCGGTGGCGAGCTTGGGGGAAGTTCGGGATTCGAAATTCGAAATGTTAGGGCGTTTTCGTAATTGTTTTGGTGGTTTTCCGGCCTCGGGTTGCGTTCCAGCGGCTGCGCCTCGCCGAGAGCGTTTCAGGGATGCCTGGATCGTCCCGAATTGCCGCCGGAGACCTGAGTTATGACCCGAGAACTAATTCGGCGGCGCGCCCAAGGGGGGGAGAAGAGAAGGCTTTTTTTTCGCAGAAGGCGGCGGGACTTTTCAGAAAGCCTCCGGCCTTCTGAGAGGTTTTTGGTTTCTTCGGGAGGGCTCAGAACACTTTTCGGAAGGCCGCGGGACTTCCGAGCCTTCTGAGAATGCCCGCCCCTCCTCAGCTCCCCCCCTCGCTCGCTGCCGAGATAAATTTCGGAGGGGGAAGAAACAGTACGGATACCACTACCGCAGGTTTCGCTTTGTCGTTTTTTTTTTTGTTTCGGGAGGCCTTCCCAACTTCCTCGGGTGCTGTTTGTCCCGTGCATGTATCTTTTGCTCCAGATTATGATTATCGTTGCGTATGAGGATTATGAATACATACGCCGAGCGAGAGCGTACGTCTGTAGATCCACGCGCAATCGTAAAACAGCGTTCAATATGCGAGTGGGGAGGTCCGCAGCATGTTCCCTGCTGAGATACCGCACTTTTGAACATCCTCGGGTGTCCACAAGCAAAGCTTATACCACCTGGGCAGGGGCGGCACTGTGTTCCTGATATTTTTCCTCCTTCTCCCCCTCATCAGCATCACCATCTTCGCGCTTCTCTTAATCATCCTTCCTCCCGCGCTCTTCGTTCGCTCCCTGCCTTCCCCCTGCAGGATGGAAATCTTGAAGCAGTAGGCGAACAGTGTATCGTCAGAGCGTGCTGCAACACTGGTTGTGTAATTCGAGGCACACTGCTGCGCGCATGCCATTACCCAATCTTCTCTTCCAAATATATTGTCGCCATCCTGGAGCCATGGGCGGGTGGACACCAACGATAACTCACAAGATCCCCATGGAAGGGGAGGAGGAGGAGGAGGAGGAGGAGGAGGAGGAGGAGGAGGAGGAGGAAGCAGGAGGAGGCAGGATGAGGAGGAAGAAGGCGAAGAGGAGAGAGTAATAGTTGGTAGGGGGAGCGATCGGAACAGGAGGAGAGGGAGGGGGATGGGTGAGGGGGAGGAGGAGGAGGAGGAGGAGGAGGAGGAGGAGGAGGAGGGAGGAGCTGGAGGAGGAGGAGGAGGAGGGGAGGAGGAGGGGAGGAAGGAATAGGAGGAGGAGGAGGAGGAGGAGAAGGGGGAGGAGGAGGAGGATTAGGGGAGGAGGAGGAGGAATAGGAGGAGGAGGAGGAGGAGGAGGAGGGGGAGTTGGTTTGCACCGAGATGCGCAAGCACCAAAAAGGGCACGTTTCGGGCTCAGCCTGGCCCTGGCGGCGGCGAACGTCTTGACATGGGTTGCGTGGCATGGCCATCTGCCTTTGGAGGAGGGGGGAGTCAGGAAAACCAGAGGGAGGCGAGGGACTCCTCCTCCTCCTCCTCCTCCTCCTCCTCCTCATCATCATCATTATCATCATCCTCCTTTTCCTCCTCTTCGTCCTCCTCCTTCTCGTCCTCCGTCTGCTCCTCCTCCTCCTCCTCCTCCTCCTCCTCCTCTTCCTCCTACTCTGCCTCCTCTCCTCCTCCTCCGAGGAGGAGGAGGTGCAGGACGGGAGGGATGACGACGAGAGGACTGTTGAAGGTGGAAGCGGAGAACGGGGTGGAGGATGATGGTAAGTGATGGCAAGGAGTCGGCTGATGAGCAGGAAGAGCATGCGGGAGGAACATGCCGAATAACAGTGAGGAAGAGACGGCGAGAGCGGGGGCGGCGGAGGATGAAGGCGGGCGGAGGAGGAGGAGAGGAGGAGGAGGAGGAGGAACACGTTGGTGATGAGGATGAGGGAGAACACATACCTTGCAACGGCCAACAATCAGTGAGTAGCTCCAGGATGCCATGCAAGAGCTCGCCTTTGCTTTGGGAGTCGTCTTCTGCATTCATCATTGCTTTGCTCTTTCTTGGCAGAATTGGGCGACCTGAACCCTGAACCCGAGGAAGCGTAAGCATGGGTTACGGCGCGTACGTCAGCGACACGTCACGTTTCCATACGGAACCGATCGATTCCGTCGCCAGGTCAGTCGGCATCGGCCTCATGTCTCTGGGTATCCTTCACGATACGTGGATCTGGCGCCCAGGCGCCAGATCCGCGGATCCGTAATCCATTTAAGATGAATGCAGGACCACTTTGGGTTCAGGAAGGGCTCTGGTTTTCGGACCTTTCCGTAAATTGAGGTCGGGGAACGTATTCGTGGCCGAGGTTCTGGTTGCCAGAAAAGCTGCATAATATTAGCACGATGACTATAAAAATGTATGGCCTGCGCCCCCCATTCATGCAGGACCGCCTGCTGAAGCTGTGGGACTACGACGAGGGCGTGTGCAAGTACGTCGGCCAGCCCTGCTACCCCCGCCCCACATCGGCAATCGGTTGCAGACTGTTGCTGCCGCCGATGTCACGGCAGCTGCTGTGCGTTATCCGTCTCGTCGCCCTTCAGGGGCCACGTTAGCGGATTTGTTTCTGAGGTTTTCGGAAGTTTTCGGGGCTTTGGGTGCTGTGCATCATCTGCGCCTCTCCGAGAGTTTTCTGGAAGTGCCTGGATCGTCCCGAACGGACACTGGAGACCAGAGTTACGACCCGGAATCTTGAAGTCGAGCGCAGAGCCCGTCACCTTCCGCCGCCCCCCCTTCTCGCCTTCTCCACCTCACTGTTCATCCGCATGCTCCTCCTGCTCCTCATCGTCGTCCTCCGCCGTCCCTCCTCCCCCCCTCCCCTCCCCCAGCGACGCTGTCGTCGTCGTCGTCATCCCTGCTTTTGTTGCTGACGTACCTGCTTTCTCTGTCCGTCAGAGCGGGCGACGTGGACGAGTCTTTGAAGCATGGGGGCCCTTGCCTAACTCGGTTATGGGAGCGATTGTCGCGTCGTGAAGCTAGCCTGGCGGCCTGCCGTCTCGGTCCAAGAGTTCCCATGGCCGGGCGCGTTCTGGATGTTTTCGTCATCGTACTGCATCCCGATGGTTTGTTTTCACTGTGCCCCTCCTCATCACCTTCAGCGGTTCGCCAGAGGGGGAAGGCAGAGGGGGCGGGCCTTCCCATGCGGCTTGCAGCCTTCTGGGATGTGCTCTCTGAGCCTTCTCCAACGACAGAGGCAGTGTCTCAGGAGGCCGGAAAGTTTCTGCGAAGCCGCCCTGCTCTCGGAGAAGGCCTGCACCCTTTCACTCCCCCCCTGGGTGCGCCGCCGACGCTTTCCTCTACCCGACGCCTTCGGCCGTGACCGGCCCACATTAATGCTACGACCAGCTGGCTGCTCCAGTGCTCGAGCTATCGCGGCTCCGGGATGGTGGTCAGGAGCTCGAAAACGGCGGCGCGCAAAGGCGGGCAGGGGGAGGGGGAAGGCTTCTCAGATGGAGGCTGTTTCTTAGGAGGCGAGGGCTTCCATCTATAGATATGGGGCCAGCGCCGTCTAAGAAGCAGCCTCCTTCTAAGAAGCCTTCCTTTTTGCCCCTACCCCCCTTTTCAAGCCTCCAAGGGGTGGTGGTGAGGAAGTTGAAAGGAAAACGGCTGCGGTCGCTTGCTGAACGCTGCTGTCAGTACATGCTGCTACTCGCGCGCCAGGCCGTTTGGAATCCCATTCCGTTTTGTGAAAGCATATGTCGCCGCGCCGCTTGTTCCGTCGCGCGGATTTGCGTATTCGGGAGGACGCCTCGGCTACCAGAGCAAACGCCGCCTCTGGCGTGCTGGGTTTGCCGTGGGGGTTGCCGCGGTGCCGACTTCGTCTACTTAGGCGCGTTCAGAACAAACGGCGCGGCGACATATTGTCTGTTGAATGCGTCGCGCCCCCCGCTGCCAGTGGTTCTAGGAGCCCCAGCTGCCAGCTCGGTCTTCGGCGTATCACGGAGTTTTTCGCTCCGCTCTCATCGATGCGTTTCTGGCGAAGTTCTTGCGTTTGGCGCTTTGGCGAGACGCGCAAGTCGCTCGTTCCTCGTTGTCGTGGAACGAAGCCATAGTGGTCGTCAACCATAATTCCGACCCGTTGCACGCCGTCTTCACCCGCCGCCTGCAACATTGTTCACACACCGTCAAAGTCATGCGGGTTCTGGCCAGGCCTCTGGCCGTGCCCAGAAATCATGGTGGCCATGCGCATGTTCGAGTTGGGTGGCTGTCTGCTTGTTCTTGATGTTGTTGCTAGATACATTCGTGTGCTCATGCGTCAGCGCAAGTGCTGGTAATGTGAGCTATTGTGTCGCATGTTCACTTCTGTCTGTTGAGCGATCTGATCACACGCCGAGTCCCATGGCGGTGGCGATCGTCAGTCGTAGTTCAGACCTTCTCGCCCTGACTGACGCGCCCGGCCTGTGTTCGGCCAGCGTGCACGTTGCCGTTTGATTGCGCTGGCGTGGAGGGCCTGGCCCACTCGAATGCAATGGTGGCGGCTGCACCGAAGGACCAGCGAGTTACACATGGACACGATACCGTACGGGGCGTGTTCTCAACTATGAGCATGTCCTTGGAAGAATAACAGTGGTTTGTTCAGCAGAATCCTGCTACCAATCACGGCCCCGCCGTCGGCTTTCCCGCTTCAGCGTTGGGCAGTTGGGAATAGAAGCGCCGCCAGGCTGGCCCAGTCTGGAAGTTCGCCAGCGGAAAAGCCTGGCAATGGACGGGCCATTGGCAGACCGTCCGCCTTCCCCAGAGCGTTGAGCATCGAGTTCGCGATCGCACAGCAGTCGTTCCAGTCAGCTTGGGAGGCACGACGGTGCCGAGAAGGCGCACGATGGCACCTGCAACTCACCCCGAACGCGCCAAGCCGACTAAGGTCGGTTCATGCGGCGTTGCCTCGCCAGCGGCGCTGGCGAAGGCGTCCAAGCGCCCTTGCGCGCGTTCGCCGCGGGACGAGGTGGCGCCACGGGGCCCGACGGAATTCAACCCCGAACGATCGGGGCCGCGATCGATGCAAGGTCAAACGACCGACGCGGCATCGAAAACTTCTACGCGCGCCAGCGCCGCGTGAACATGTCGTGGCCTTCGGGCCGTCCTAGCTCTTCCCCGTCTTGGCGTAAACCTGCATCGGCAACCCGCGGTCGTCGGGCCGCCGGTGGCGCGGGCGCTTCCACCCCCGCCACCTCGCCAGTTTGAGCGCCCAGGGGCTGGAAGTCCTGGCGACGCTCTACGAGGCGGTGGAGCGGATATGTCGTTTCCCAGCCCAGCCCTTGTGGATGCTGATGCCTCTTTTTGAGAAGCCGAAAGGTGGGCTGCGCTCGATGCTTGCTCTTGGGGCGCTCGTGCGCATCTGGGAGAGGCTCCGTCGGAGCGAAGCGGATTAGTTTCTGGGGCGGGCCCAGCGGCCCTACTGGCGTTTTGGGGATGACTAGTTCAGAGGCCGCGGCGCGGCAGCAAAGCGCCAAGGCCGAGCTGGCTTCTTCCCGGGGCAGGGCAACTGCAGGCTTTACCTGGGATGGCATGAAGTTCTATGAGTTGCCCGTGCTATTTTGGCTCCGCGACAGAGCTGCAGTTTGGAAGGTTCCCGTGGTCCTCATGGAGACCCTCTAGAATGTGTGGCGGGGTCGTCGGTTTCTTCGCTGGGGCCCCAGCTGTTCTCCTTCGGTTCTCTACGCCACCTCGTGGCTCCCTAGCTGGCGATACTTCAACGACACTCTCGTGCAAGCGTATACCATGCTCGAGTTTGACCGCTTCACCCCCAGGAACCCTGGGGCCCCCCTGGACCCCTCGCGCCGATGACGTCACGGCGGTTGCACATGGGGAGGGGGGTGAGTTTGCAGCTGCACACGCTCGGGCAGGACATTATATGAAGGACTTCTTCCAGCGCGGGCTGGGCGTTCACTTGGTGGAGGACAAAGTATTCACTTTAACGTCCACTCTCAGGTTGGCTGGTCGATTGGCCAGGCGGCCACGGGTGGTCGCCTCGAACGCCGTCGCTTCGTCGGGCGCGGACCTGGCGCCAGGGCAGAGGAGCGCATGCCTGGGGCGTTTGGGCAATCAACGCCAACGTTTTCGGGCCGCGGGGAAACGAACGACGCCGCCATCTTTCCCGCAGTAGGCGGAGACCCCCCAGGGACAAGTCCAGAATGTCGAAGATGTACGTCGCAGGCGTTCAGCCCGCTGCTAGCCGCGGGGTCACGGTGCTAGCCCTTCTGATGCGGAGCTCAAGGCTCTTCAGAGCACCCTGTTCGTAGGCCGTAGCCCAGCGCGCCGCGGAGCGTCGCTTGCAGCGAAGCTGGTCCTCCACGGCGACCCTGCCTGGAAACGGCCAGTCCCCCTTGCTATCCAGTGGGCCTCGAGTGCCTGGGAGCCCATCGCCCAGCCTCGCACGTCGCCCTTTAATTTCCGGAGGCAGATTCAGATCTGGAGGGGCACGGCGGAGTCTTGGTAGCTGGATCTGGAAACGTCGGGGTGGAAGGCATCTCGAGGGCCCGTGCATCGCGTGTCTTTTTCTCTACATCTCATCGGATGGAATGCCCCGTCTTTCACGATGTGGCACGACGAGCGCGGTTGCGTCATTGATCTGCTCTGCACCTCCCCCGCGATGGTCAGCACGTTGCAGGAGGAAAGCGCTCGGAGAATCCATGGGCGCCGCATGGCGCAAGCACTGCCCCTGTTCGAGGCCCAACGGGTTCCGCCTGACCCGTTGCGTCAGATGCTGCGCGCGAGGCGCGTCTCTCCGCGAGAACTACTTCGCGGCCTGCTTCTCAGGAGCCTACTGGGCGGGCGATGGGCCCCCAGGCTTCGAGGGGCGTGCGCGAGGGGCTGCGTCGCTCACGCAGACGTCCCGACCTTTCGGCCCATCGGCAGTTTTTCCGAGACAGCTCCGAGCCAGCGGAGGCCATGCGAGAGCACCTTTCCGATCAGGAAATTGCACAGGCTCGCGCCGCCGACCCCGCACAACTTTCGCTCGGGTCTCGATCGGTAGCGGCTCAGCCCTCGCCCCCCCCCCCCCCCCAGCGCCGCCTCAACCTCGACCCCGTCCTGCAAGGGCCCAAGGGCAAGCCACTCACCGCCGGGCAGCGTAATCTCACGGTCGATAGCGCGATCGTGGTCTACGGTTCTGCTAGCCAAGGCTCCGAGTTTTGACCAGGTCCGCTTATGCTGCCGTTTGCCTTGCCCTTGGGGACGAATGACAGATTCGGGCTCGGGTCATCGGGGCGGTCTGGCCAGGGCTTCTCCAGACGGCCCAGTCTGGCGAGCACCTCGGAGTAGCTGCCTCTAGCTGCTTGGCCACGGGAAGGAGCGGCGTGCGCGACGACTGTCTGGGGGCGGTTCGTTTGGCCACGCCCACGGCATCGGCGCAAGTGGGCCCACATCGGTGTTTCGCTGGCCAGCGCAGGAGGGCGTTGGCCGAAGACAGCCAAGAACGAATTGCGTCTGTCTCGCATGTGCGCGCTCATCGGTCGAAAGGGGCCATCGAAGAATTCCATCCGCATGAGCGCGAGATAGCTATGGATAGTGCCGATGCCGACAGGCTGGCCAAGCATGCGATGCGTCCCTCCACCCAGGCCTGCCCACCCACGAGTTCGAGCAGCTTGACACCGAAGTTGCTCTGCTCCGCAAGCTGGTCGCGATGTTTGGCGCAGCGCCCCCGTGTTTTCCCAAGCTTGAGTTCCGTCGGGACCTCGGGTGCCTCGTCCGCGTGCCTTGAGTTGGCGCGACTCTCGTCTTGGACCCTATGAGCCCTGGGGCCGACGCCGAAATCGAGAGCATGGCTCGGTGTAGTAAGTGTTTCACTGTTGCGGGTGGTGACGACCGGCAGATGGACGGGTACAAAGGGCCCCCCACGGCCTTTCGGGGTGTGCGTGATGCTGACAGCGAGCGTGGCCACCTCTTGTGCACCGCTTGACGCCAGACTGAGCAGCGCACGCGTCTCGCATTGTGTTTCCGTTGTGGTGCTTGCACGAGCGAGAAGTGTTCAGGCTCGCTGAGCGGGCGGTGCAGTGGTAGGCCAAGATCGCGCGGCAGAGGCGCGCTTTCTCGCATCCGCCGTGACCTGCATCCGCACTACAGCCGGGGGGTGACGGTGGCTGCGGGGTCTGGCACCACTTGTCGTGCCTAGACCAGGTTTGTGCTGCTGCCTGTGGCACCCTCTGGTCTCGCCTCCTCGCCCGCGAGCTCGCGCCTCATCCCAACAGCAGAGTAGAGGCGTTGGCGGCTCGCGCGCGACAGCGCGAGGCGGCGGCCGCAGCCCTTCCGTCGGTAATCTAGTCCGTTTGCTGATTCGTTTTGCCTTGGGGCCTCTGGGAAAACATTCCTCCTCCTCCTCCTCCTCCTCCTCCTCTTTTTCCTCCGCCTCCCTTTCCTCCTCGTCCTCCTCCTCCTCCTCCTCCGCCACCTCCTCCGCCACCTCTTCCACCCACCCCTTCCCGCCCTCCACCCCATCCTTCCCAACGGCTCGCGCTGCTCCGCTGTCATCCGCGTGCACCGCGCAGGGGGCAGCGCGGCACAGTCCACCCACGCCCCCCGCAGAGCGGCCGAGAGTTCCTCTGGACGCCATTCTTGGAAGGACTTGCGCTCCTGCTCCTCCTGCTCCTCCTCCTGCTCCTCCTCCTGCTCCTCCTCCTCCTGCTCCTCGCCATATTCCTCCTCCTCCTCATCATCAACATCATCATCATCCTCATTCTCCTCCTCGCCCTCTTCCTCCTCCTGGCCCTCCTCCTCCTCCTCCTCCTCCTCCTCCTCCTCCTCATCCTCCTCCCCCTCCTCCTCGCCCCTCTCCTCGCGGAAGTGCCGTTCCTTGGCGTCGCGCGGACGTGTGTATCTCTCTTGCGACAAAATATACACGCACGAAGCCGATTTTGCACGGGGGGTGCGCGCCCGAGAGATGGCGAGATTCGGCATCGGCGCTGGCATCCCCGTGGTCGTAAACGGGCTTGCCCCCGTGAAGTTCCGCTCGGGCCCGCCCACTTCTGCTCAGCGCCTCTGAGTCTGACCAGATCCGGATTCTCCCCGGGATCAATCCAGGCCAGTCCGACCGAGTTGCCTCTAAATTGGGCCAGCTAGCCTTCAACTGTTTTTGTGATCGAGGATTACGGAAGGTGCCTCTGGCCCAAGGTGCCCCCGACTTCCCGCCCGATTCTCCAGCCCCTGGTGCTCTCTGGGCCTCGTGATGGGTGCTCTGGAGGCCGTGGGGCCCTTCTTGGAAATCCTGGGGGGCACCGTGGGCCAGGGGCACTTCTGGCAACACCCGATATGAGGACATCCCGGCAGTTGCCTCCTAACGATTCTCCCCCTTCCCCCCCCCCGCGAGCCCCCCCGTGCCGAACTGGGGGAAACGAACAATGACATAAACATATACATCCCAGGAGGTCCGCGCGGATTTCTCGGATCGGCGCCGGTGGCACCGCCAGGGGGATGCAGCGCCGATCCAAGAAATCCGCGCGGACCTCCTGGTTTTCATGTTTATGTCCTTTGGGTTCCCCTACGACTCGAGCAGGGTGTTCTGCGGGCGAGGTGCTCCGGCACCGGCCGCTGCTGCAGGCCGTCGCCGACACAGGCGTGCCGAAAGGCACACCAGCCGTGCGATCACGTCCCAGGGAGCCCAGGACAAGCACACCAAGGAGTTCCCAGGAGTGGCCTCCCGAGCCCTCACGCGAACCCTCCCTTCTCCCGTTCAGTGAGCAGCCCGGAGTGCCGAACGTCTCGCGCAGGATGTTTCGGAGGCTGGCGCCAGCGAGCGAGGAGCCGAGTCTCCTTGGCTGCGGGCGCAGGTGCTCCAGCGCCGGCTGCTGCCGCATGTCGTCGTCGCAGACGTGCCGAAAGACACACACGTCCCAAGGAGCCCCAGAAAAGCACAATGTGCGCCGTCGACACGGACATGCCGAAAGGCACATCGGTCTCGGCGACTGCAAACGGTGTGGTTATGCTGAGGTGTGGTTTGCGATCGGCGTCGTTGGGGCACGACGCTGCCCTCATCGGGTCGTGGCGCAGCGGATGACTCCATCGAGGTCCCCACCCACACCCCACTCAAGCAGTGGCGAAGCGTCCTGGCTCGCCTATAGGCCCACCACACAATGTTCTAAGAACTTGTTCTGGTCTGCGCGAAATGCTCTCAGAACATTGCTGGCCGAGACTGTCTTGTTTTAGTGCATCGCGTTCATGTTCTACGAACATTGTTCTTGTCATTTGAACATCTCTGGATTCTAAGATCATTTCGTAGGCCCACAGGAATGCCTGCACGGTCGGCCCCTGCTTAACCCAGGGTGCCCCCCAGGGTGCTGGTTGTGAACCGCACACCCTTTGCAAGCCCTTGAGATCAGCCCTGAGTTCCGCTGCAGCAGACGATCACGGCCAGGGCCCCAGCCTCCTCCTCCTCCTCCTCCTCCTCCTCCTCCTCCTCCTCCTCCTCCTCGAGCCGGATCGATCGGTGAGGGCCCAGGGCTCGAAATTGTGCGATGGCACGCCCGGCTCGGAAAGTCCCAGAGGGCCCGAGCCGAAGGGGGCAGTCAGGGCCCGAGCCTCGGTATCTCGGGCCGGGCGAAAGGGGGGGATTGGGAAAGGGGGGGTTACGAAATTTGCTGCATGCAGCTGGTTTCGGCCTCACCGAGGGGCCCATTCCTCGATACATGGCCGCCTCCGGCGCCGGGAGGCGCCGGGAAAATCAGCTACGTGAGCTGATTCTCAAACCCCCCCTTTGCTATCCCCCCCTTTCGCCCGACCCGAGTATCGTTTGACCGATCCCCATCCCCATCTCCATCCCATCCCCTTCGAGACCCCCACCAAATTGCCACCCCAGTTGGGGATACACCCCTCGAAGCCCGAAGGGAACGGCCTCTATCCCCGTCTAGGGGGGTAGATCGGCCAGTGGGACCCAGGCCACGCCGCGGGGGACGGGGATCGGTGAACCGATACTCAGGAGGGGGGAAGGCTTCTTAGAAGCACCCCTGCTTCTTGGTAGGTGCGGACCTTGTCTGTAGATGTCAGGCCGGCGCCTTCTGAGAAGCAGCCTCCTTCTAAGAAGCCTTCCCCTCCCCCAGCCCCCCTTGTGCGCGCCGCCAATAACCGACCCCCGAAAAAATCACGACGGAACTGCTTCGCTATTTTCGGCCTCGGGGGGCCCTTGCCGGGCTTCGGGAACGTCAAGAAAGGATTCAGGGTGAAACTTTGGTCCCATGGGAACGGGTCCAGACCTCTGGGGGTTGACGTCATGAACACAAACATGACGTCGGAGGTGTGGGTTTTCAGTACAGCGGGGCCCAGGCAGAAGGTCAAGGCCGGTTCAGGGAGGGTGCCCTACTGTTCTTCATGCTTGTTGGGTGTTCTCGTGCATCCTGGGGGTGGGTACCCTCGAATGTTTTTCCTTTTGGGCCAGTGGAGAGTCTCATGTTCTTGAAGGTGGGCGTTTTTGCACTCATTCTTTTGCCGATCGGCGCCGGCCCTCGCACCCCCCACTCTTCAGGAGGGGAAAAAACACACAGACACAATTAATCGTCGACTCCCCAGAAAATATAGGAAAATATGGGAAGTGGTGGGGAAGACAAAACCCAGAAAATATAGGAAAATATGAGGGATATGTTTATTTGTGTGTATTTATTTGTGTGTCCTGGGGCCCCTTCACTCGTGGAGTGGATCTTGGCTGTTTTGGGCGCATGTTTCGAGCAGGTGGGTCCCCCCCCCATAGGACGCAGTGTCGCCCCCCCCCCCCCCCCTTGCCGCCCAATGTCGAAACGCCGAGAAAACGCTCACAAGGATGTTCTTCTGTCCTAGGTCCCACTGTATTGTTTGACCGACCCCTGTCCCCATCCCCTCCCCATCCAGACCCCCACCATTTCAGCACCCCAGTGTGGGATATACCCTTCGAGGCCAGAGGAAAACGGCCCAGGCCGCGCCCATGGGGATAGGGATCTTATTCATTGTTTTGCCGATCGGTGCGGGCCCTCGCACCCCATCCTCCCCCCCCCTGGAGTAGATCTTGGCTGTTTTTTGGTTTCTGTTTCGAGCGGGTGGAGTCTCCCCCAGAGGCCACACTCTTGCAGACAGTCGCACTAAGCAGAGGTCCAGAGCCAGACCCCCCCCCCTCCCCCCCCCCCTTCCGCCCACAGTCGAAACGCCGAATAAAGAAACGCACATGGGGATAGGGATCGGTTAAACGATGCCCGCGTGCCAAAGTCTGACCGAGGTATAAGTCTGCCAAAGTCTGCCAAAGTCTGACGGGGAGGGCGCCCTCCTGTTCTTCATGCTTGTTGGATGCTTTCTTGTGCACCCTGGGGGGAGCGTACCCTCGAATGCTCCGCACTTTGGGCCTGCGGAGGGTCTCATGTTCTTGAAGGATGTGTTTCTGTTTGACAACCCGTGCGAAAAGCAACTGGTGTTTGGTGAGGCCCCCGGGCCACCCCATCTCAATGTTGATCGCGCGACCGGCGCAGCTCGAAGAAACAAATCGGCACCGCACTGAACGCTGAAAGTGGGGGGGGGGTAGAGGATCACCAATTGCGTTTCGCACGGGGTTGTAGGTCCGACTGCACGCCGCGGGCATCAGGGTGGCCGAGCTTCGTCGGGAGTGCCAGGGCGAGCCGCGGCGGACGGCCAGGCGGAGGACCCCCACTCGGGCGATCGCAAACAAAAAGATCAGTGGGGCGTGGATTGGCGATGGGCCCCGCTTCCGTGGGAGATCGCGGACTTCTGCCGCCGAGCGAGGCGGAACCGGCCACAGTTTGGGGAGGGCACCTCCCCCGATCCATGGATCGCTCATCCGCGTTTGCGCACCCCCGAAGAAGTTTCGGAAGGCCTCTGGCGCTGTGAGAAGTGTTCCAAGCCCTCCTCGAAGACACAGAGACACAGAGACTCGACCAGAAAGCGAACGGCACCATCCCACCTACGGACCTCCATTATGCGCTACGGCTCATCGGGGACCGTACAGTGCGGCTTTTTTTATACATGCTCCGCGTGCGGATCATGCATTAAAATGCAGGGTTCAGTATTGAACATAACGATGAGCTCATGCAGACATCTATTCATACATTCATCATGCATTAAGAATCCTATAGTTTTAGAATCCTATGTATGAAAAGCTGCCCTGTAGCGACAAATCCATGAATCACCAATCCACGTTTGCGCGCCCCCGACCCACGGCGGCCCCAGGCGGTGGGGCGGGGGCTTGGCCGGCCGCCGGCCCCGGGCGTGCGCGGGTCGCGCTCGCCGGCGGGCGGGGCCGCGGTGCCGGCAGAACCCCGCGCTGGGCCTCCCAGGTGGGGTCGGAGTAGATTTCACCACCCACCAAACCACCCCAACCCAACCCGAAGGCTAAGATTTTCCCTCGATTTCCAGTGGGGGGGGGTTCGGGAAACATAGAAAAAACACGTATGGAACCCTTACCCCCCCCCCAACCCGAAATTCGGGCCTTCGGGTTGGGTTGGGGTGGTCTGGTAGGTAGTCAAGATTTGAGCCGGGCCTGTCCCTCTACAGGAGTTTTTCATAATATTTGAAACTCCAAACTCCCTCTGCCACTCAAATCCTTCTAGGCCCTCTGAGTATCATTGAAAACAAGTAGGAAACCAGCTTTCGGGAATTTCTTGAATAGTCAGAAAACCAGTTCTTGGATTCGAAAGCCAGTTTGGAATCCAAAACCAGGGGTCGGGGTCCCAGGGCGCTGGCCCCCTTGTGCCTGCGTGGCCCCCCCCCCTGGTTCCACAGGCGGCTTCCCCGGAGGCTTCCCCGAGCCTCCAAGACGGTCCGAGCTTTAAGTCGGGCCTGTCCCCCAACAGGAGGAACATTCAAGAATAGTGAGAAAGTAGTCTGGCGCCGATTTCCCCAGCATTGTTCGACCATTTGGGAGCATGTTTTGATTTTTTGTTGTTTACCATCCAAAAGCCACCTGTAGGGGGACATGCCCGAATTAACTCTAGGCTTCCTAGATGGGGTCGGAGTAGATGGGGTCGGAGGATCGCGCCGCATCGCCGATGCATCGACGATGCGGCTCGATGCGGAGCCCGATTTTCCCCACGCTGGCGTCGCCCATGCGTCGCCGACGTCGGCAATGCATCGCCGATGCATTGGCGATGCGGCGCGATCCTCCGACCCCATCTACTCCGACCCCATCTAGGAGGCCTCTGCCTGCTGTCGCTCACCACAGGGAGAGCGGGTCCTGAGGTTTTCAGCAGTTTGGGGGGCTCTCGGGGCCCTCCACGGGCCCCGCGGGACCGTCAGGAAGCGACTCGGGATGAAGATCTCGTCCTGGGAGGCGGCCCCGGGGTCCCCGCTTGATGTCCGTGGCCGGCTGGCAGATCGGAGAACAAGCAATGACATGAACACAAGAACTCTGCGGCCCGCGCGGGCTCCTCGGATCGGCGCTGGGGCCCCCTGGCGGCGCCTCCGGCGCCGCCCCTGGCGCGCTCCGCGCGCCAGGAAGGGGGGTCCAGCGCGGAGCCGAGGAGCCCGCGCGGACCTCGGCGTCTTTATGTTTGTGTCATTGTCTGTTCCCCCAGCAGAACACACCTGCCGCGTGCGCGGCTGCGTCCTTTGCGACACTGTTCCCGCGGGGTGTGCCCCGAGTTGCTCCGGGCCGTGCGCAGCTCGCCAGCGTCTTCGCTACAGTCGAGACGCTGAAATGAGGGTCGCGTTGGGCTGAGGAGGCGCTCGGGTGGTCGGGCCGTTCCGTAGGTTGATGTTTAAGTCGGGCACGTCCCTCTACAGGAGGAAAATTCAAGAATAGTGGAACATAGTCAGGGGTCTACTCTTTTTTATACTATTTTGGAGCATGTTTGGAATACTTGTTGCACTATTCCATGTTTCGTCCAAAGCTCTCCTGTGGGGGACAGGCCCGACCTGAGTTTGTGTCATGGAGCCGGCTCGTGGCCCAAGCCCGTCGTGGCCAGGAAAGCCCCCTCCGGCCCTTCGTTTCTCAGTCGTGTGCTCCTGCGTGGTAGCACGACGACTTGACTGCCTCAAAGAGGCTCGCAAAACTGAACATGGCCATCATCAGCATCATCGCCATGATCATGCGCGTCTGATCGCGTTGCTGTGCGCACCTGCGTGCCCGACAGCCAGAGGCGTGGGCCACAGCGGTCAGATCACTTGCGCGGCCATCTCTCCGGACCAGACCTTCATCGTGTCCGCAGGCCACTTTGGGCAGGTCGTGGCAGAAGAAGCGTTCGGAGAGGGATGTGACGAGACTGGGTGTGCAGAGGCAGCGGCATGAGCAGACACAAGGACAGGGTCAGGAGCAGGAGGAGGGGGTACAACTGCAGGAACAAGAGGAGAAGGCGGTGGTCAGGAGCGAGTTGTAATAACGCACGTGTGCATGGCAACCTATTGGCTTCGAGACCGTGCGTTGCGCGAACGTTGGAAAGACGAGGTTGGTCTCGCGGACTTGGGGGGCCGTATTCATGTATAAGGTTGGGCGCGTACATCTTCTGCGGGCTCCCTACGAGGGGAGGTGGAAGGATGTAGACGAATCTGCTTCCAGCAGGGCTCCCGTCACCCCCCTCACTTTGGCGCGCCCCTCACACGTTTCGTGATCCGCCGAAGGTCTCAGCTGCGCAGTTCGCGCGCGCCACCCCCCCGCCCAGGACGGCATTTCGTGGCCCTAGAGGGAGCTCCACCGAAGGTCCCAGTGGCATGCCCCCCCCCACCCAGTAGAGCGTTCGTGGCCGCAGTGAACATGCGGTTGCCTCGCCCAGTAGAACTCTCGTGGCCCCAGAGGGAGCTCCACCGAAGTTCCCAGTGGCGCAGTTCGCATACTACCCCCCGCCCTGTACACCGTTTCGTTGCCCCAGAGGGAGCTCCACCGAAGGTCCCCGTGGCGCAGTTCGCATGCGTCCCCCCCCGCCCAGCACAGCGTTCCGTGGCCCCAGAGGGAGCTCCACCGAAGGTCCCAGTGCATTCCGCATGCGTCCGCCCACCCAGCACAGCGCTTCGTGGCCCCATCGCGAGTTCCACCGAAGTTCCCAGTGGCGCATTCCGCATGCGCTTCCCCCACCCAGTACAGCGCTCCGTGGCCCCAGAGGGAGCTCCACCTAAGGTCCCAGCGGCGCAGTCCGCATGCGGTTCTCCCACCCATTACAGCGCTGCGTGGCCCCAGAGGGAGCTTCACTGAAAGTCCCAGTGGCGCAGTTCGCATGCTACCCCCCACCCAGTACAGCGCTTCGTGGCCCAAGAGGGAGCTCCACCGAAGTTCCCAGTGGCGCAGTCCGCATGCGGTTCTCCCACCCGTTACAGCGCTTCGTGGCCCCAGAGGCAGCTCCACCGAAAGTCCCAGTGGCGCAGTCCACATGCGGCTTTCCTGCCCAGTGTAGCGCTGCGTGGCCTCATCGGGAGTTCCGCCGAAGGTCCCAGTGGCGCAGTTCGCACGCGTCCTCCCCACCCAGTACAGCGCTTCCTTCGTGGCCCCAAAAGGAGCTACACGGAAGACGATACTCACACCCGCGGCGCTCACAATTGCATGTGGTTGTTGTTTTTTCGCCAGGCTAATGTTTCGAGTGCCGCAGCGACATGGCGTAGGCAGCGCTGCCTTTTCAGCGCATCACCGACAAAGGCAACAGTCGCCGAGTTCCTCCCGGCACTTTCGTCGTGGTCTTCTGCCCCCCGCCACCTTCCTTCTGGTGCTGCCGCGCTGACGGTTCGGCCTAGCACGCGTCCTTCTCTTGCCTGTCGTTCCCGCCCCCCATGTTCTCTTCCAGCCTGGGCCATATCGCTCCTCGTCCATCTCTGGTTGTCCTGTGAATCGTGATGCGCGAACGCACCCCATGTAGTTTGCACACCATGTGACGGCGCCTGCAGTGTCACTGTTTTGGCAAATCTGGGGCAACTCATCTTGCCACTTGATGCAAATTGGCTGGGCACGTCAGAAGGTGATTTAGCGTGTGTGTGTGTATATACATATGTATCTACAGTGCGTCGTTGCCAGTGACGAAATTAGGCCAGCCTGTTGGCTTCGACATTGGTTCCTATGCAACTGACGGGCATCCCGAGTCCAGCCTCCGACTGCAACCTATGACGTGCAACCTATGTGGCGAACCGTGCCGGCCCACCAGAGGGCACCATGGGTCAGCATCCAGAGAGCGCAAATAACAGGGCCCCAGCCATACGGAATCGAAGCGCGCCAACCACAGGGCACCAGCCTCCTGGTTACACAGGGCACCAACCATACGGCACCGACCGGGAGTTGGGCCATACAGCACCGATCCAGGACTTCCGACGTCGTGATGTCTTCATGGAAAGGCCCAGAGAGGTCTGGATTCGTTGTTCCGCGGATCTTCCTTTCATCACGAGCCAATATTTACCAGCGCTGGGTGAAACAATTATCCTCGCGAAGAACCCAGTCATATGCAATTGTGAATAGCGCCTTGTGGCGACCATGTTCAGTGGAGCTGCCTTTGGAGCAGCCTTTGGGACCACGAAACGCGGGAGGGATTTGCCCAGATGGGCGCGGTGGTGCCATGCAAACCTTGCCACCTGGGTCTTCGGAGGAGCTCCCCATGGGTTTGCCGAAATGGTGCGGGGGAGGGGGGGGGCATGCGAACCTTGCCACTGGGACCTTCGGAGGAGCTTCACATGGGGCACGAAACTTGTGAGGGTGTGCCGAAATCGCGCGGGGGGACGCCTGCGAGCCCTGCCGCTGGGGCCTTCAGACAAACTTCCCACGGGACTACTGGGGGGGTGAGCCGAAAGGGTGCGGGGGGACGCATGCGAACCCTGCCATTCGGGCCTTCGGGGGAGCTCCCTGGGGGGCCATGAAACGTGTGAGGGTGTGCCGAAACAGTGGGGGGGGGCAGGGGACGATGACGATGAGGATGCGGGATGGGAGGAGGGAGGAGGGAGAGGAGGAGTGAGTGAGGAGTGAGCGGACGTGGGGTGCTGCCTCTTCAAAACAAGAACTCAACACCACACGATGGCCGGGAGCCAAAGCATCCCACAGTGGGGACGGGCAGCCTGAGAACGTTGATGTCGGCAGCCGTTTCGCTTGAGGTCTCTTCCATGTGTTCCAGAAGCGCGTTCTCGCCTCAGTTCCGGCTGCAGTACGTGTTTGGTCTGGACGGCCACGGTGCCATGTTTAAATCAGAGCGTGAATTACCTACCCCGCTTTCGCTTCCAGGCAAAACCAAGCCATACCACACGCCTCCTGGTCTAGCGGCCTGACCAGTACAGGCTGCAATTTGGCATCGTTTGGTATCTCTTGGAAGCGAGGGTGGTCAAAAGCGAGGTAGGTTTGTTTCCCCCCTATTAAAACGCATTCGGGTGAACATGTTTCAACAGCGGTAAGGAGCGAACACTATAGGAGTCCCACAAGGGGGGACGGGGAACCCGAGACCGTCCAAAGCGGCAGCCGTTTTGCTCCATCATTCCTCACAGTTTATAGCAGAATTGCACTCTCGCCTCTATTCAGGAGGAAAAGAAACACACAGACACAATTAGTCCTCCATTCCCCAGAAAATATGGGAAAATATGGGAAGTGGGGGGGAAGACAAAAACCCAGCAAATATGAGAAAATATTGGGATTTGTTTTATTTGTGTGTATTTATTTGTGTGTTCCAGTTCCCCTTCATCTATGCCAGCTACCACGGGGGGGGGGGCGGGGAACCCCAGACCGCCCGGCCCGTCAGCCGTTTCGCTTGAGGCGTCTTCGCAGTTCTTGACGCTTCGCGCAGCCCCACCAGCCCGCCTCGCGCGTTGCTCTGCTCTGTTTTTCCCGCGCTGCCTCTGCCTAATTAGTCTCTGCGTAGCCCGCTTTGACCCGACTCGCCGCTGGCGCGCTCGCCCGCGGCCGCTGACTAAAAAGTAGCCCCACCAGCCCATCCAGAGACGATGCCCAGAGGAGTTGCTTCGATCAGGCAAGTGGGCAGCACAAAAGAAAGGGCCCCTCTTGGAGCGCTCTTGGGTGCCTCGGGGAGCCTCTTGGGGCCTCTTGAGGGCATTTTGGGAGCAGCTTGGAGGCCTCTTGGGCGCCTCTTGGGGCCTCCTGGGCGCCTCTTGGCTCTTGAGGTGCTCTTGGGAGTCTTCGGAGCGCTCTTGGGGCCATCTTGGAAGAGCTCGAGCAAAGAAGGAGGGGTCCTTAATTAGCCTCCCTCCTCGGAAGCCCCAGACATCTCCTCTTTGGCCCTTTTGGGAGCCCTCTTGGGGCGCTCTTGGGCGCCCTTTGGGCCGTCTTGGGGCTCTCTTGGGCCTCTCTTGGGGCCCTCTTGGGCCCTCTTGGAGCTGTCTTGAGGCCTCGGAAGGCCACCGGAAGGGCGAGAACGCAACGTTCATTGATTTCCCCAGATGTTTGAAGGATTCTGGCCTCTTGGTGGCATCCTGGGGAGGCTCCGTGGCCTCTAGGAGCATTTTGGGAGCCATCTGGAGCCATCTTATGCTATCTTGAGCCATCTTGGAGGTCAGCTTGGGCTCTCTCAGGCCCTCTCGAAGCCATCTTGGGCCATCTTGGACGCTCCAACGCCTCGCGAACCCCCCTTCCAGGTCCAGAGGAGGGGGTAGGGGGATGGGTAAATCCCTCCCCGAAGGGGAAGAAGGGAATTGGAAGAGACACCGCTCTAGACCATCTACGCCCAGAAGGCTGGTTGGACTTGCGCGGGTGGGTCGTGATTGGGTGTCGCCGTTGGTCGCGGGTGGGTCGCGGGGCGTGTCGCGGGTGGGTCGCGGGTGGTTGGCGGGTGGGTCGCGGGGCACGGCGCGGGTAGGTGGGTGGATCGCGTGTGGGTTGCGGGGCGGAGGTTGGCAACACCGACGACAATACGTACCGCGGAAACCCATGACAGCCACGCGCCCAGGGACTGCGTAAGACAGTTAGGCCCCCTCACCCTGACGATCTAACAGTAGCGGCGATCACCACTCCCTCTTCTTCTCCCCAATCGTTTCTTTTTGTTTCCCTCTTTTTCTTCCCTCTTCCCCCTTTTACTCATCCCCTCCCGCCCTGGAATCCCTCCCCTTCTTGCTCGTTCCCTCCATTATGGGCTGGGGACAGGCACAGAGGGCTCGGTTCTCATCTGGACCATGCCGGACGCGGTCCTGCAGCAGTGCCACGAGGCCGCTCCTTGGGCGGGGGCACTGCGTCTGAGACGCATTCCCGCCCCGATGCGGGGGGGGCAAGGGGGGGTAGGAGGACGAGGAGAGAGGAGGTTACAGATGGACGGAGGTACACGATCTAGGTCGGTTCGGGGAGGCTGCCCGACTGTGCTTCGTGGTTGCTGGATGTGCTGGTGCATCCGGGGGAGGGCACCACTGGCTGGTCAGACTGTGCGGAAGAGGAGGTGGCGGCCGGACGAGGAGGGCATGAGGGCGGCGGAGGAGGAGGAGGAGGAGGAGGAGGAGGAGGAGGAGGAGGAGGAAGAGGAGAGTGAATGCTGTGACCTAGCGAGCCAGAGGCTCATCATTGCATTCTATATGTACAACATCCGCAGTCATGCACGCTCGTTGCCTCTGGATATTTCTTCGTGTGCACGTGCCGCAAGGGCGCAGTTGCTGCAGCAGGCCGAGATGTGTGACTGATGAACTCATTCCGATGCTACGTGCGAGGAGTAGAGTGAATGCGGCAGGGAGGCAGCAGGTGCGGAACCAAGAGCACTAGGAACAATAGTTACAGCAGGATCGGGACCGGGAGCGGGGACGGGAGCATTGACAGGAAGGGGCCACAGCAGGAGCGAGAACGTTATGCCGAGGAGGAGCAGGAAGAAAAGGATGTGGACCAGTGAATGATAATGATGATGCTGATGATGCTGAGAATGATGTTGCTGCTGATGATGAGGATGATGATGGTAATGCGCAGGAGAGTACAACGGAGGAGGGAGGCAGGAGTAGGGACGAGGGATGACTGAGGGGGAAGAGCAGTTCCCCTTCTTTCGTTCCCATCCTCCATCTCCTTTCTGCCGCCTCCTCGGCTGAAGCGTTCCCCGTCCTCGTCCCCTCCGACTGCCCGCCCATTCTCCTTCGTCTCCCAGGAGGGGGAGGACGGGCTGACGTCAACGTCGTCACGCATTCAGCTTCGCTCTCAACAGCCTCGTTCTGCATGACGTCCTCGGTCATCTCTTCTTCGTTCCGCGTGTGGAATGTCCGCCAGCGTGCTCGAGGCACTTTGTGCGTGCGGAGCCCTTGCTCCTGGGGGGCCGTCCTGGCAAGTTACCGCAGTATCGGTTGCGAGGCGCCCTCTGAATATGCGATCTGTGTCTGTGGTTTTCTGGGACAGGGCGTATCCGGGCTGTCGCGTTGTGGCACAGACTTTCAGGTGTTATGCGTGAGCTGCGCTTGCATATGGAGCGTGTGTGCATAAATATATACAGTGTGTGTATATATATATATATATATATGTATGTGTGTTTGTGTTTGTGTGTTTGTGTGTTTGTGTGCGTGTGTGTGTGTGTGTGTGTGCGTGTGTGTCTGCAGCGGCAGTCGCTTGTCGTCGCTGGCCACCTGAGCGCTGGAGAGATCAAGCCTCTCTGTGGGCCAGAGCGTAACAGGGCTGTCGCAGTGTGGCGCAGACTGGCATGTGCGATTCGTGAGCTGCGCTTGCATCTGGAGCGTGTGTGTGTGTATATATGTGCTTGTGTGTTTGTGTGAGCGTGTGTGTGTGTGTGTGTTTGTGTGTATTTGTGTGTTTGTGTGTGTGTTTGTGTCTGTTTATGTGTGTGTGTGTGTCTGGAGCGCCAGTCGCTTGTCGTCTCTGGCCACTTGAGCTTTGGAGAGATCAAGCCTCGCTCTGTGCCATCGTTCGGCCATCTGCTATCAGGAACGCAGGGGTTTTCCGTGTCGCTATACATCCACGCCGAGTCCGTTCCCGTTTCCTGATGCTGCCATTGTAGCACGAACATTCCCCATTCTATGTGCTAGGTTTGTGCCTGGCGGGTTGATTTCAAGAATTGTGCTGTTGCGCTGGTCTAGCATAGTACGTGGGCGCACCGCAGGCGACCGCACGGATACTGCAGAGCGTTGTCACATGTTTTTGTTGAACGGCCGCAGAGCATCGAAAGAAACAAATACACACAAGACTCCGCGAGGAGTCGTGTGTGTGTGTGTTGCCACAATGGGACCGCGCTCCCAAGGCCACGATCTCTCCTAAATTACGCTGCGTCCGCTCTCTCTGGGCTACGATCACTCGTAAACTGCGCTGCGTCCGCGCTCCCAAGCCAACGATCCATCGTAAATCACGCGGCGTCCGCGCTCCCAGGGCCGCGATCCCCCGTACATTGCGCGGGGGTCACGCTCTCAGGGCCACGGTCCCTCAGAAAGCACGCTGGATTCGCGTTCCCAGGGCAACGACCCTATCGGAAACTACAAAGGCTTCACGCTCCATGGCCACGGTCCCTCACAATTTACACGGGCTTCGCGCTCCGAGGGCCACGATCCCTTGTCAATTGCGCCGCGTCCGCGCCCTCAGGGCAACGATCTCTTGTAGATGACGCTGCGTCCGCGCCACCAGGACAACGGTCCCTTCTCAGGTACGCTGTGTCCGCGCCCCTAGGGGCAGGATGCTTAATACATTACGCTGTGCCCGCCCACCCCCCTCGGGGCCATGAACCATCGTAAATTACGTTGCGTCCGCGCTCCCAGGGCCACGATCCATCGCAAACTACGCTGCGTCCGCGCTCCCAGGGCCACGATCCCTTGTAAATTACTCTGCGTCCGCTCTCCCTGGGCCAAGACCCCTCGTAAAGTACATTGCGTCCGCGTTCTCAGGGCAGTGCTCCCTCATGAATCACGCAGTGCCCGCGCTCTCAAGGCCACGGTCCCCTGTAAATTACACTGGGTTCGCGCCTCTGGGGCAAGGATCCCTCGCCAATTACGCTGCGTCCGCGCTACCAGGGCCAGGATCCTTAGTAAATTACAATGCATCCGCGCTCCCAGGGCCACGATATACCGTAAACAACGGTCCGACCAGACTACCAGAACCACATGGGCACCTTGCGACGCCCATGTTTTTTCGCCCAGGTTTTTTCGCCAGGTCCTTGGACCAGCGTTGCACAACAACAAGTCGCCAGAGAGACCGTGAGAAATTCAGCGGGCACGCAGGAAGCCAACCGTCCTTCTGCACAACGAGCGCGGGGGTCGAGACATCCTTGAAATGCCTGCGCGCGGGACGTGCCATCTCGAGCTGGCACGCAAAACATCAATGTGTCCATATTTTCGTTGTAAATTTATAGGTTCTCCAGATCTCGCGTTTTAACATTCATTCTGGACAGAAACGCTCCGCATCCCGTTTGTTACAAGGGGCAGCGTGTGCTTGCGGACCCCGTCATTTATGAAGGTTCCTCGAGCGCTATCGTCATCCGTCGTCGTCGTCATTGTCGTCGTTGTCGTCGTCCGTCGTCGTTTTCGTCCGTCGTCGTCGTCCTCGTCGTCGTCGTCGTCGTCCGTCGACGTTTTCGTCCGTCGTCGTCGTTCTCGTCGTCATCGTCTTGTCTTCGTCGTTGTCGTCGTCATCGTAGTTTTTCGTCCGTCGTCGTCCGTCGACTTCGTCGTCCTTTACGTCCGTCGTCGTCGTCGTCGTTGCTGTCGTCGTCGTCCGTCGTCTGTCGTCGTCGTTGTCGTCCGTCGTCCTCGTCGTTTTCGTCCGTCGTCGTCAAAGTCGACCGTCATCGTTTCCGTCGTCTTTGTCGTAGTCGTCGTCGTCGTCGTCGTCGTCGTCGTCTGTCGTCGTTTTTTGTCGCCGTCGTCGTCGTCCGTGGCCGCTTGCGTCGTCGTCGTCCGCATTTTCGTCCGTCGTCGTCGACGTCGTCGCTGTCGTCGTCGTTGTCATCGTTCGTCGTCGTCTTCCGTCGTCGTCGTCGCCTTCGTCGTTGTCGTCCGTCGTCGTCCGTCGTCGTCGTCGTCGCCATTCTCGTGCGTCGTCGTCATCGTCGTCTGTCGTCGTCGTCGTTGTCGTCCGTCGTCGTCGTCCGTCGTCGTCGTCGTCGTTTTTGTCCGTCGTCGTCGTCTTCTTTCATCGTCGTTGTCGTCGTTCGTCGTGGTCGTCCGTCGTCGTCGTCGCCGTCATTGTGTTCTTCGTTGTCCTTCGTCGTCGTACGTCGTCGAGTCGTCGTCGTCGTCGGGGTCGTTGTCGTCGTCGTTTTCGTTCGTTGTCGTCGCCGTCGTCCGTCGTCGTTTACGAGCGTCGTCTTCGTCTTAGTCGTGTTCGTCATCGTCGACGTTGTCGTCGTTCTTCGTCGTCGTCCGGCGTCGTCGTTGTTGTCGTTGTCGTCGTTGTTGTCGTCCGTCCTCGTCCGTTGTCGTCGTCGTTTTTGTCCGTCGTCGTTGTCGTCGTCCTTTGTTGTCGTCGTCGTCGTCGACGTCGTCCGTCGTCGTTGTTGTCGTCGTCGACGTGGTCCGTTCGTCGTCGTCGTCGTCGGTTTCGTCTCTCTTCGTCGTCGACGTCGACCGTAGTCTTCGTCGTCGTCGCTGTCGTCGTCGTCGTCGTCCGTCGTCGTGTTCGTCCGTCGTCGTCGACGTCGACCGTAGTCTTCGTCGTCGTCGCTGTCGTCGTCGTCGTCGTCCGTCGTCGTGTTCGTCCGTCGTCGTTTACGTGCGCCGTCGGTGTCGTCTTCGTCGTCGTCGACCGTTGTCGTTTTCGTCCGTCGTCGTCGTTTTCGCCCGTCGGCGTCGTCGTCCGTCGTTGTGTTCGTCCGTCGTCGACGTGGTCATCGTCGTCGCCGTTGTCGTCTTCGTCGACGTCGTCCGTCGTCCGTAGCCATTTTGGCTCAAGATGGTCACTGCCCGTGGCAGAGCACGGAGACCCTTGGTCCAGGGCCAGCTAGAAGGACTAAGCTATCACGCCTTCCTCGCGCCCGCGAGGTCGAGCTTCATATCCCGGCCGAGGCCGATCCCATCGCTTCCATGGCTCCTGGCGGCGGTGGTGGTGGCGAGTGCGGCAGTTTCGTACGGCGTCCATGGGCAAAGGTGTGGCCCTGGCGTCAGCAGGAGAGAGGGCGGAAGGCATTCTGTCAGCAGTGTTGCGCTTGGCTGTTCATGGACAGGCTCGCGGACGCTGACTTCAAGTGCAAGTGCGGCGCCAGCAGCTGGGGGGCGGAGCCACCAGGAGGAGGAGCACCAGATCGTTC